CTTCCAAGTAGCTGAAATTACAGGCATGCACTACCACGCCCAGCTGATTTTTTGACTTATTGTAGAGATGAGGACTCGCTGCCCAGGCGGGTCTCGAACCCGCGGGCTCAAGCAATCCACTCACCTCAGCCTCCCAAAGGCACAGGATTACAGACTGAGCCACCAAGCCCAGCTTTTGTGTGATATATTTTTCAGGAGGATGAGTATGAGGATATGTTACGTGTACTTTTGTTGCCAACCACAGTTGCAGAACTACTCAAATCTGCATGATTACATATTAGGAAAACTGAATTGGTAATTTTGTATCTGTCTATGCATTGATAGAGTCACTGCCATGACTGAAGGCTTTCTGGTTTCACTACTCGGACCAAAGAGGTCACTTCTGAATGTGAGTCTACGCACCGTGTCATCCATAGAGAAATGCTGGCTAGCCGAAAAGTGTCATCTGAACTTAACAATGTTTTGCAGGATGTGATTAAAATTATCAGCCACATTAAAGTACATGCCCTTAACTCACATCTGTTCGCGCAACTCTGTGAAGAGATGGACGCAGAGCACACGTCTTCTCTTATACACAGAAGTGAGTGACTTTCTAAAGGTAGATCACTGACCGGAGTTTCTGAGTTATGAGAGTCACTTCAGAGATTTCTTTTAGAAAAACAGTCACCACTGGCAGCACATTTCAGTGACAGAGAATGGGTTGCAAAACTTGCTTCCTTTTGTAACATATTCATCCTGCTCACGAACTCAATCTGTCACTTAGGGCAGAATGACGATTGTGTTCCAGTTGGCAGATAAAGTGGCTACATTTAAAGCCAAACTGGAATTATGGGGGCGATAAGTGAACATTGGGATTCTTGACACATTTCAAACATTAGCGGAGATTTTGAGTGACTGAGCCAGGGCCTCTTTCTCCAAGCTAGTGCGTGATCACCTCTCTCAGCTTTCAAAAGCGCCTGAGCATTACTTCCCAACCACGAAAGACCCCCAAATGGGAAAAGAATGAATCCGCGACCCATTTGTGAATAAGCCAGGTGAATCGACTTTGTGCTAGAAGAGGATTGAGGGCTTGAGCTTGCAAAAGAAGCCTTAAAAGTATGTTGCAGACAACTTCAACTTTCTGTATCTTCTGGATTAAAGTCAAGGTGGAATATCCTGAGATTGTCACAAAAGCACTGAAAAGCCTGCTTCCATTTCCAGCATCCTATGTGAAGCATTCTTTGTGAAGCAGGGTTTTCTGCAGTGACAGCAACCAAAACGAGATTATGGAGTAGACTGGACATCAGCAACACACTTCGGGTGTCTCTGTCTCCTATCACCCCCAGATGGGACTGTTTAGTTGCAGGGAAACAAGCTCAGAGCTCTCACTGATTCTGCATTATGGTGAGTTGCATAGTTATTTCATTATATATTACAATATAATCATAATAGAAATAAAGTTCACAATCATCTGAATCATCTGAAAACCACCCCCCGCCCTGCAGTTCATGGAGAAATAGTCTTCCATGAATCTGATCCCTGATGCCAAAAAGGTTGGAGACCGCTGTACTACGTGAATGCATTTATAAGAGGTGTTTACAAAAGTCAAACAGTAGAGAGAGAAAGCAGATCAGCGGTGACCACAGGCTAGTAGAGGAGTAAGAGGGTTAAGGGGAATTGAGGCTGGGGGTGAGGGCTCAGTCTACCTGTTGACTGTCATTGGTGTTGGTTACTGCATAGCATACCATGTTTAGAAAAACTCACAGAACTGTACACCAAAGAAGAGTGACTTTTACTATATGCAAATTGTACCTTAAGAATGGAAAAAGAGGAAGGCCTGTAAACAAAAAAACCAAGGAAGAGTATGTCAGCAAAATATAAGGCAAAAGAAAGACAGGAGAAAATCTTGATATTGGATGAAATATAATCAAGAGAAAAAGTCACTTAGGGATAATATGATATTATGTAAAGGTAAAAAGAATGACATATCAAAAAATATGATGATCATGAGCCCATGTATGCCTAACAATGTATCTGAAAATACATCAAGCAAAAAGTGATAGAACAATGAGGGAACAAAAGAATTAATCAATTTACTTGAAGAGTTTCAATAAACTCCTCCCAAACAGTTCAAACAAAGCGAACAAAGATATAAATGAATTTTTTTTTAAATGGAGTCTCACTCTGTCGCCCAGGCTGGAGTGCAGTGGCATGCTCACGGCCACCCCAGCCTCGACCTGCTGGGCTCAGGCGATCCTTCTGCCTCTGCCTTCCAAGTAGCCAGAACTACAGGCGCATTCTACCATGCCTGGCTAATTTTTTTTCTAATTTATTGTAGAGATGAAGTCTTGCCAAGTTGCACAGGCTGTTCTCGAATCTGTGGACTCATGCAATCCCCTCACCTTGACCTCCCAATGTTTTGGGATTATAGACTTCAGTCAGTGTGCCTAGCCAATATAGATGATTTTAATAACATCATTAATAACTTTTAATGAATAGATGCATAGAAGACATTACATCCAACAACTAAAGAATATCTGTATTTTGGGGGTAGCATATATGAAACATTCACAAAAGTCAACATACACTTGGCACAAAAGAAGGTAGTTTGCAAAGAATCAGCATTATGTCTGGACGCAGTGGCTCATGCATAATTCCAGCATTTTGGGAGGCAGAAGCAAGAGGATTGCCTGAACTCAGGTGTTCGAGACCAGCCTGGTGTGGTGGTGCATGCCTATTGTTCCAGCTACAGGTCAAGGCTGCAGTGGTTGTGAGCATGTCACTGCACTCCAGTCTGGGCAACAGAATGAGACTCTGACTCAAAAAAAAAAAAGAATCAGCATTATACAGATTATGTTCTCTAACCTCAGTGCATACAACTAACAATATCAAAAGGATGGTTAAAGAAAATCCTCACTTATATGCACTCTAAACACATATTCCAAAATAACTCTTGGGTTAACAAGGTAATTATCATGAAATTACCAAACACTTAGGATAGAGGAGGATAACAGGGTCAAAGGATAAAAGCAGAATATGGAGGGAAATGTGTAGCATTAGATAAGTGACAGAAAATTAGAAAGGTTTGAGTTTCTTAACTCAAAAAGCTGGGGAAAGTTCAACAGAGAAAACTCAAAAATGCAGGAAGGGAAAAAAGGAAATAATTAAGCGAGGACAGAAATCAATTAAATAAAAGACACACAAAAAATCAATAATGTAGACTGGTTTTTAAAAAGCTATTTAAAAATATTAAAACAATAAGCAAACCTTTGGTGAGATTCATCAATAATTTTTTTAAGGATGTCAAAATGGATTAAGACTCATGAGGTTGGGCATGGTGGCTCACGCCTGTAATCCTAGCACTTTGGGAGGCTGACGTGAGAGGATTGCTTGCGCCCAAGGGTTCGAGACCAACCTGGGTAACATAGTGAGACTCTGTCTCTTAAAAAAAAAAATTGCTGGGCGTCGTGGCACATGACTGAACCTAGGAGGCTGAAGTGAGAGGATCACTTGAGCCCAGGAGATTGAGGTTGTAGTGAGCCAGGATCATGCCACTGTCCCCCAGTCTAGTCCTGTCTCAAAAAAATAAATAATAATAATAAAATAAAAAAGACTTATGAGAACCAAGTGCAGTGGCTCACATCTGTAATCCCAGCCACTCAGGAGACTGAGGTGGCAGGAACCCTTGAGGCCAGGAGTTCAAGATCAACCTGGGCAAAGTAACAAGATCCCACCTCAAAAAAAAAAAAAAAAAAAT